TTTCCTTTTCCTCCTTTCATTTTTTCTGTGCTCTTTGTGTTCATTTAAACTTTGACACATTAAATGTGCCTCAATTGCAAGATGACAAAGTATTTAAATGTAAAGAATACATAATTCTTCTCAACTTTATATGTGTAAAATTGTACTAATGGTTTAATCTCAAAAGCAAATCTTCACTTCTTAAAAATCACACTTGCAACATCTTTGACATGCTAGCAAAATCTGATAAGAAAAGCTTCAAGTTGTAGCTAAATTGTTATGTATTCAGCATTTTCATGATTAATAAATAAGATATTTTAGGATACTTTATATTGGAAAAGAATATTAGTTATCTGTGAATTGATGTGACATCCCACCTCTGAAGCACAAATTAATTTTAGATTTTTTCCTTTCAATATGCTGCAATAAATGTCAGTCAATATGCAAAACAAAATAAATTCAGGAGTAGAGACTGTTTTGTGACCAAACTACAAAAGTATTTAAAATAAGGCATTTATTGGTCAGCAGTTACTGCATTAGTTCAGTGAGAAATGTTAAACTTTGAGGAAAGTCTGTCTTCAGAGTCTGTGTTGTAAGAAATGTTAGATATAATTTTGTGTGTCTTCTGTTTGGTGCCATTTCTGAAAGGAAGTCATGAAAAGCCTAATGGGATTTTTTTCTTCGCAGTTACCATTTCCAAAGCAAAGTGAATCCAATATAGTTTGAAGTTTTTAGAAAAATACGAAGTTTGTGTATCCACTGTTCTCATTCAAATGGACCCACAAAATTAATAACATTTTTCTGTTGAACTTGGAAAACTTAATATGAATGCACTTGTATTTTTTTTATGTTGCTTTTATAATGACGTCAGCCCACAAGCACCGCAAAAACAGATTTTCATAATTCTGTGAAAGATAATGACTGAAACACAATATTTAATTAAATTATAGAACATAATACTTTTTAATCTGAAATGAAATTGTGTACTCAGATTGCGTAGTTTCTGAGCATGTAATAAAGTCGGCACGTCGGAGCCGGATAACCGCAGTTGGAACTAATAAAGTTAATTATGCCCACATTCCAGTTCCATGCCTTTCATAACAAGTTTACAGGCTGTGTCATATTTTAAAGAGGCATATAAGGAGTAGCAGCTTGTGATTTATGCTATACATCCCTGTTTTCTTTATATATGTAGTGAATAAACCATCTTAAGATGTAGAGTCAGAAGAGAAAAAAGCCATGGAAAAAGTGTAAACATCAACAAAACAATGTTTTCTATATTTGTTCCCAAAAATATGAAATGATTTACTATGAATATTACTAGGCTGTTTTCTGGTGATCATAGTTATGTAGGCATGTACAGATAGTGACCTACTTTCAGCGTTTGTTGTTTTGTTATCCAAAAGTATATCTTAACTAAAACAGATTAGACTAAAGGATGTCAATTATTTACCAGTTTACAGTTTTAAAGTTTTACCATGTAATTATAGAGGAAAAAGAAAACAGAATATCAAAAAATGCTTGAGTTTAAAAACTTTATTTAATGTTCTAGTTTTCTAAAAGATAAATATATTGTTTTAAGCTCTAGATTCCCTCATATTAAGTTTATTATGATCAACTCATTGTAGGCAGCTTCTAGCTTTAGCATGGTAACTGAAAGTGTTGCTTAAGACTTGAGGAAGTCTTGATAAATTACATACTTGTGATGTTTACTGCGCAATCACAGCTGTATTAGTGTTGTTGTTTCTTCAGAATTGAACACATCTTTTCCAAACAGTCTGTCTGCAGGCGGTGCTGCTGCATGCCACTACCTGTTTGCAATAGTATATTTTGTGTCGCAATAAAAATCCAGGTATGCAGTGGGTTGCATCCGCTGCTCTTTCACCATTCCATTCTTAGATAGTTGCTGCTCTTCATCAGAAGAAGACATAGTTTTACAATAAAAGGTTATTGCTGAACAAAAGCTTTGATTGCTCCTTCATTTGAGCCGGTACCTCTCAGGTAAGGAACGCAGCTTTACTGAAACACATTTACTTTGGGAGGACAGCGATTGTTTGGAGCCAAATTAGAAGTATAGCCTGTCCTGTAATCATGCTTCAGTGAGTTATAATTATGCTATTTTAACTTCGCCTCTACCTGAAGCTACACAACCGTTGAATGTACTTACTTGTATGTAATTTACTTTACGGATTATTTATCTTTCTCTGTAAAAACCCTTTTTTCCAGCTCTGTTTACTCCACTTTCCCCTCACTTTCCTGGAGGCTGAAAGCTCCCAGAAAGTCAGGTTGTTCCCATAGCTATCAACATGCTCACCTGTTGCCATTGGTCCTCAACTTCAGCAAAAAAAAAAAAAAACAAAAAGCAAAGGGTGAAGAAGAGTTCTGAGTAGAATGAATAATATACAGAGAGAATACAGTGCAAGTTTAAATATGAAAAATGTTACGGTTTTAGGATTTAGGAAAGGAATGGCCTCAAAATATTTCACTGAGTTGTTGTGCAGATTTACCATTAATATTCTGTAGAACAAATGACATATTTCCCCACACAAATACATTTTCATAGCTTTGAATCAGAAGTCAAACTGTTTTTTTGTTTAACTTTGCTACTAGCTGCATATCTTATTCAAAATAACAAAAAAATACAAACAAAAAACTAATTAGAAACCAATCAGTTCTAATATGCATCCACACTCCTCTAGCATGTACGGCTCAAGCCAGCTTTTCAAACACCTCAGCTTGTTTAAACAGGTTGAACTTTCAGATTGAAATATTTCAAAAAGGTATGTTTGAACTGATATGTTTTAATTAGATCCTTCCTATAAGAAAACAGACAAATCCCACGCTAATGTTATTTTCCACTCAGGAGGATAAATGTGATGGCATCAGTGACCAATAATTTAACGATGTCAAGTTTTTGTTACATCATTTGAAAAAAATTTGCTTCTTCTAAGTAGCACCTGGTTTCAATAGGTGAAATAGTGACGTATGAAAATGGAAGCAAAGATTCCTGAGCTTTCAGAGGCGACCTGGGAAGAAAAAGTCTAAACATGATTGCAATAATCGTAGTCAGCAATAAAACTTTACATTCTTTGAGATTTATAAAACCTGCCATCTGGATTAGTTGAGCAAATTTTTTGCCCTTTCAAGTTTTTTTTTTGGAGGTACAATAAATCTATTTGAAAATGAGGTCATCTGATGGAGTTCAGTTGTTTTCTTAAACTTCTTAGTTATATTTTCCTTAATGTCAGACATTTACATGTTTTGCTGGTAAAATTGATGCTTTAACAACACGGATCAATTAAATAGGAGCTAAATACATTCTTGAACTGCAGGACTGAGAAATATAAGTATTTAGGATTAAAGCTTTTTCAATTTGCTCAGTGCTTGTCAGAGCTTGGTTTGCTGTTGGAGCTGAGATGCTATCGGCTCTATTTCGATGGTTGTGAAATGTGTGTGTGTATACACAACCATCTTAAAAACACACACCCCCGGGGAGAAAAGGGGGGAGTGGAGCCAAATGTTTCACTACACCTCCTAAAATCAGCAACAAAAGGATAACTAGAAAGATTTATGAACTGCAGTGTTGTATTTTACCAAAATAAATGTTGTGAAGAATGGCTAGGGTGTAAAAATGTGGCATTTTACATCTCATTTACTGAAGAAAATGAAATAGTTGTCTTCCTGTCTGAGCTAAATGTGAGAACCTGCAAAAATCAAACCCCAGACAGTTTGTCGGCTTCTCAGTTCTCTAATAATTTGTTACTAGAGGGATCAAAGTTGGCAATACAAAGAGAAGTTTTCAAATTCTGATAATTTGCTAAATTTTAACTACTTGGCCAGTCAATGCAATTAGTTCCAGCAAAAGAACCTTTTAGTTCCTGTTGGAAATGACATTTTGAGTCCAACTAACACTTCAGGCCTGGTTAACGGTGGGCTGTTTATGGATGTTCTTTGTGCTTTTCAAACACAGCAGATAGCACAGTGGTGCAGTGAAAACGCAACACTCACACTTGAAATGAAGTGGCTCTCTGTTCAAGGACTAACATCATTATTGTTCCATTTAATCACCGTTGGTTAAGTTTGTCACTCTGCTGGGGATTTCTCAGAAAAACCGTCCGGCTTCGTTTTGACTTATAAAGATGTAATTGCATGAGGCAGCTTCTAGAGTTATATTCAGTTTGTGCAATTCTTTATTTAAACTATTTGAACTCTGACCCCACAATGCACAAAAACATCTGTTAAATAATCCATTTGCTACTCTCTAATAGCCTGAATATGCCATGTGATACTATAAGTCTTTGGAATTTATTTATTGTTCTTATTAAGATTTATATATGTCAAAAGTGCCAAAGTAATATAGGAAACAAGTGCTGTACACAGTTTTAGCTACGCTCAGTTAATAGAAGGGAATTTCAAATTTAAATTTTTATTATTTTTACTTCCACTTGGGTTTCTACTGCTTCCTAAAACAGCTCAGGTGCTTAAAAAACAGTAAGTTAATGTTTTTTTGGTGTGTGGAAAATGTAACATTTCAAAAACCTCTTTGATCGTTGAGTCACAATTGACTGGCTCTGCACAATGGCTGCTGGAAAGATCAGGTGTTTCGTTGTTGATTTAACCGTTTAGAAACCACTTGCTGCATTCTTGTTGGTTGTGCAAGAGCATCTACTCATGCCTTTTCAAAGAATTATGGTTGCATAATTGCATACATTTTGCAAATGTTGATTTAGAGTTGTGGCCAGGAGCAGCTTATTTGGATTCAAAGAGACCAGAGATCCAGTAACACCTCATTCTGAAAGTATGAGCACACTAAAATCTTATGATCAAAGAATGATTTTGTGCAAAAAATGTGATGAATCTGTTGTAAAAACCTATCCTCACTTGTTCAATGAAAATCACTTTTTCAATAAATCAGTTCCGTGTTAATTCATATAGGCATGTTCAAACTGTAGGCAGAAGATGGTTATCAGCTGTGACTTCCAGGCATAATAGTAATTTGGTTTCCTGTGTTTTTTCTGCAGACGACGGGATCTACCAGCGAGACCCGCCCCCTCTCTGCTCTTCCTCCAGTTCAAGTCGTCTCGTTGGGGAAAACAGAAAAAGTCTCGTCCCAGAGGAGTTCGCAGGCCTCCTTCATGGATCCTCTCCGGCTTGTGAGCCGCCGGATACGCCTTATCACCTTTACAGCCCCAAGCACTTTAAATACGCTTCTTCAGAGGTGCAGGGCAGCGTGCTGCAGACTCCCGAGTTCAGCATTGTGATCGGCGGCGGAGCCTGTCAGGGTTTCTCTAGAACTGAGAACAAATCCTCTCCCCAAAGGTCCCACAAGCCGCAGGTCGTTTACCGAACCATCTTCCACACCCGGGTAAATCAAGACCAGCTTCAGCACAAGAACTGTGAACAAGCGGGCCTGCCTGGTGGATGGTCGACGCTAAACCACCCTTCCTCTTGTTCCCTGGGACAAAACGGAGACGTAGCAGAGCTTCAGGGGAAGCAGGTGGGGGGCGAGGCCAGGGACGGCTACGAAGAGAGAGCCTGCACCCTGGGGAGGATGAGATCCGTCCCACGCAGCGTGTTGGACCTGCAGCTCTCCAAGTCTCTGTCCAAGTCCGATTCCAACCTGGTGGCTGTGTCCCCCATTCAGGTGAGAGTTTTTTATTGTTTTATATTTTTTCTCTGTTCAGTCTCAGTTACAATAATCATGTCTACTCCTGTTAAAATGTCAAGTCAGGCAATCGTCTCATATCTTGTAAATCTAATATGACATATTTCCCCTACAAAAGGGATTTGCTAAACTTCCAATGGGATATCCATCAGCAGAAGAAATTAAATCCCACCAAGAGCCTGATAAGAGCACTGAAGAAATGACACCTCTGCTAATCACCAGTATTCTTCAAATGTTTGGACTGCGAAGAAGTATTACCTGACAGAAACAAAGAAAACATTCCTTCATCACTAAAATCTCCCAAAGGATACGGACCAGTGTCTCCTCCAGCATAGCAGTCACAAATCAGTTGAGATTTGAAATAAATATTTGAATTCAGAACCATTTTTCTACAAACATTTAGTTTCCAAAACAAAAGGAATGTTCTGCATCACCAAAACACCACCGTATCCACAGAAAAGCACGGTAGCGGCAGCATTTTTTAACGCTAGTATATAATGCTGCAATGCTGATGTGGAGCATTCCTTAGAAAGAAACTTTTTAAACTACTTACTGCAGTTTGATCACTAGAATTAATTGGAATTGGATTTTTAGTTTTCACAGTCAGTAAGTTTAATCATGACTTCACCAGAAGAAAGTGAAAGTTGTGAAAGTCATAACAACTGTTAGTTTCAGTTTAAATTACCAGATTGTTGCAGATTTTGTGTATTTTTCACTTAAATTGTGACTCCGCATTAAAAACATGACATTTGAAAAGGGGTGCTAACTCTTTCCAGATGCACAGTATGTGAAACTTTAAGGCTACCGCAAAAGTTTTAATAATATTTTATCATTTGTGTCCTATTTAAAGAGAAAGAAAGTTCCTGTTTGGTGCGTTTTCAACTATTCAGAATATTCATGTGTATAAATTAGTTTCTATGATGTGGCTTCAGAAACTGAGTTCAGCCAATGAAATAACTCAAGAATCTGGGCCACAGTGTTCCAGTGGCTGGTGCTTCGTTTGAGATTTGTTTAATTCAGCCTAAATAAATTATAAACTACAGAAAATGCATATTCCATTTGATGAAAATAAAGCTATTAGTAATGAAATCCTTTTTTTTTTTAGAATTTTAAGCTCAAAGATGTTTTGAAATTTTTTTTTGCAAGTCATAGGTTATATGTGAAAGCATTCATGTATTTATTTATTTTTTTTTAAATGTGTTGTATGTTCCTCAGGAGGAATACAGCTGGGGTTCTGGGTCCCGGGCCCAGGGGCCAGGAACGCCCGGCTCCAGAGAGGGAGCCAGCCCTGAGAAACGACTGGAGCGGACGCCGTCCTTCACCGCCGAGTGGGAGGAGGTGAGATGATGCAGACCGCTTAAGATCTGGAGTATCTAATCAATGGCGATATTAAAGGAGAATGAAGATGCAGATCAGTGGCTGTGCTGCGACTCGTGTATTCTTGCTATAAAATTGATTAAAGCAAATCAGCATTTGGTCTCTGCAGGAGGGAAAACTGCAGCCTCAGCACCGCAGCATCACTTTCCTTTGAAACCTTCTCAACTTCTACCGTGCTGATATACCGTGTTCCCACTCTGATGTTTGAAAGTAGTTTGATTTGTGGAGAGGTAAAGGTCAGGAGGTCAAGGCTGCTGTGTTTTAGTTCATGTTACTCAAGCTACTTTTTTAAAAGAGGGATAACTTAGAGAAATATTCAGATATTAAGAAACCTTTTTTTAAGGAATGCAATGCAACAAAATATGCAGATCTAATCATATAAATAACCTGGACTATTTTTAAAATGATGCTAATGATGTGAGTGAAAGCCCATTAGTGTATGCTGTGCCACATTTGCATGTACATGTTCATTAATTACCCAAAGCAACTCCTGACTTGCTGTCTTGATGAATTACCATCAGTGTTTTTTTGTTTTTTTTCTATTTATGGTAACAATTCGTGTCTAATTTAATGTTATTTAAGGGAAAACACAAAGCAGCAGATGAAAAGAGTTGCATCATTGCCAAGAGACGAGTCACAAAAACTTTTCAGGATTCAAGCAGATTTAATTTTTGATTCAAATTTGGTATTTGTACATCATGTAGCGCTAATTACTTAAGTTATTTGTTCATAATTATCACCACTTAGGCATACACTGTCAGGAAGTTCTCATGGTGTTCAGATGTAAGTTAATCATTCAAAGAAAATAAAAACAGAATAATATCCACATCTCAAATTAAATTAATTTGTTGAGAAGAAATTTTCCGACTGAAATAGTGCTACAGACAGAAGATGTTTCCTTAAGGTTTTAGGCTAAATGTATGTAACAACCCTGCAACAAACACCGTTCTCAGTAAGACCGGTGTTTTGAAACTTTGACATGATTAAATATAAAAGTTTCAGTAGCATCTCGTCCGTCCTTAAACTCATCTGCGTTGGGGTCTTTGGCAGTGCCATTTTATTTATCCTCAAATAGGGTTTGCTTCACAATCCTCTTGCGGCTTGGTTTGTCCGTGTTGGTTTCGTCCCTTGTTCTAGATGAGTTTTTCCTTCCGTTTAACTTTCCATCAATGTGCTGTGAAAAACCAGCTTCTTTATCCGTGACATCAGGTGGCTTACCTTCCTTGTGTGAGGATTTAAGTGACTGTTAGCTGGACAACCGGGAAGTCAGCCACGATCTTCACGTTCATGACATGGAGATAATATAACATTTCTGTACTGGAAATTTGTTGCTATTACTGTTTTCAGAAAAAAAACTGTTTTTTAAGTCTTAGACATATATTATTTCTTGTGTAACGAATCTGATTAATTAGCTTGTTGGGATGTGATTGTGATCACTGCCTGTGAGACTCTGTGGATGGCGGCTCTGCTGCCTGGTTGACAAATGAGCAGGTTGTACAGTTGAGTGGTTAGCAGCATGTCCACTGTGCTGCAGCCAGCAGTCACTCTTCCTCTCTTCATCTTGGTTCAGCTGTCTGAAAGTTTCCGGCTGACACTCAGCATCCCGGCTGCTGTAAGGATCACATTATGTGACGCATGAATCCAGAAATAGAAATTATTCCTGGGAAATAACTTTTCACCCTATTAATATGTACTGTACACATTGCTCCCTCTCTGTCTGTTTCCCGTCTGTTCAGATTGATAAGATTATGAGCTCCATCGGCGCGGGGATCGGCAGCGGATTGGACGTCAAGGAGGTTACCTCAGGTAAACGCCATCCAGTGTGTCGAGTGTGGGTGACGTGAAGAATAAATCCTGGTGGAATTAGCAGGGTAGGATGATGCATGCAAATTTCAGATTGATACCTGAAATATATCAACTGTCACCACATTCCCTAAAGTTGAGCAGATATTTAGTTAAACCATCATATAGTTTTGCAGATCAGCAGAAGAACCAGGCATCTGTAAATACTAAAATAAATAGATGAGTTTGTGTTTTAAATCCAATAAAACCAGAAAGCTTGATGACTGGGCTCGACAGCACAGGCACAATATTTCAATAGTGTTTGAATACTATAGAAATGCAGCAAGTTCAGATAAATACAGAAAAAAATATTTGAAGAAAAAGAGCTCTTTTATCACATACCAGAGCCAGTGTAATCGAAACAGATTATAAAAACAGAGAGGAATACACTGACATAAAATTGAATTAAAAAAAATCAGCTTACTTAAAAGTTAATGGGAGCTGAATTTGATCTTATTTATAGTTTCTCTCAAGGTTTTTACTGTAGTAATATTCACACAGACGTTCTCTCAAATGCTCACTTTCATACGCCGATGTGCAGCTTGATGAAAGCAGAAAAATGTGAGGGAAAAAAACCCCAAACAAATTAATAAAAAGAAGGGCTTGCACTGAATTTTTCTTGGTGCAGTCATCTGAAAAATAGGTTTATTTTTACCTAAAAGCAACTTGACTCTCCTCATTTTATTATTTCCTAAAATGTTCAGGATGTTCCTGTAAATTACAAGCAAACTTTTGAGCTTTTGAAGTCTCAACAACTCATGGTTCAGTATAATTATTTCTACTCAGTCAACTAATAAGGGGTGACGACAACACAAAAAAAGTTGTTTTTTATCTTCACAGTTTTATCTTTATATAACTCATCTGCTTTAAAGTGTAGAAAATGTGACTTTTTCATAAAATGTTGAGTGTCTATTTGAAGTGTTTTTTTTTTTTTATGAATTCATCCACTCGCAAATGCTCTTTGTTTTTATTTCAGTGCCTCTAATACTAATAGGAGTATCGCTTGAATTTTGCAAATTTGTTGCTCGTTTTTATAAAACAATGGAAGTTTTAACGGGACGGTCATGAGTAAAAACAGGTGAATATGCCAAATTCTTAGTGGGTTCTTAGTTTAAGTGGGAAAAGTGGGCGTAGTGAACTTTCACAAAATTATTTCTCCAAATCTCTCAAAGCCCACACATTTTAGAAAAACCTACACTTTGCCTCAGTTTAAATGCCAGTAGTATTGATGAGAGGTGCAAATAAAGGAGAAACGTTTGCTTTGTGACACATCAGTGTTTTTGTAGAAAGTAAAATAAGATGGGAATTTTTCTGTGTACTTTAAATGCAAAACATCTTCTCCCTCATGCAGTTATTATATAATAAACTGTCATGAATCCATCACAGCTAAATAAGCTTGGATTCCTCATGAAGGTGAACAATAAGTGAAATAATTTGCAGATATCTTTTGAAATAAATGATTAGAAATAGAAATTCATTTCTATGATTTTCCCCTTTTAAATTTGGATCCATGTTTTTATAATTTTTTCTTTAAAAATCTAAATATAAAGTTCGTTGACTAAAATACAGTGCAGACATCTGCAGTCGCCTTAATGGATGCCTCAAAGATTTGTTAAAGAACACAGCAGGAAGAAGGAATATTAAAAGGGTTTAACAAAGGGTTAAAATCTGCACTAAATCTGAAAAATAGTTGAATCCTGTAGGAATCTATTCAGAGTTTAAGGGAAGAAAAATACAAAGCAGTTCTGACTAAAATCTGTTGTCACCGTCAAGCAGGACAAACCTAAATACACAAATCAAATACACAATTCAAACTGGATGAATATGTCAGACCAAAACATATTCATCCAGAAGAATGGCCAAGTCAAAGTCCAGTCATCAAAATAATTGAAAATATGACTTTCAAATTGATGTTCTGCATCTACTCTGAATGACTTTGAGCTATTTTGCAAAGAAAAATGGATCAAATTGTCTAGATGTGCAAAGATGGAAGAAAAAATCTGCAACTGTAATGCAGTAAAAATGATTTTAATGCATTTCCAGATCACAATTTGTTTTTCATAACAAATTAAATTACAAAAAAATTAAGTCTGTAGTTGGAACATGAAAGCAATTATTTAAGGATCTGAATAGTTTAAAAATGTATATCCCTAAAGTACAATTTTCCTCCACCTGCACGCCTGATTTCTCCTCCAGTGATGATCTGTTTTCTGCATTCAGCTCCTCTTGCCTGTATTAACTTCCACATCCCTCCACCTCCTGATCCCCCCATTCTTCTCTTGCTTTTTTCTCTTCTTCTGCTCTTTCATCCATCAATGCAAAGCCGTTTTAACCGTGGTTACGGTAGCCAGAAATCCGGTCTGTGCCAAAGCAGCTCCACCTTCCCACCAATGCTGCTCACACATGCAAACATGCATATGCAGGACAGCATGTATTCACTCAGGATTTCATATGTGTGTGTGTGTGTGTGTGTGTGTGTGTGTGTGTGTGTGGGAGGGATTCTGGCTTAAAGACAAAAGAAGCTGCAACTGTTGTGGCTGTTATCAACGGAGTGAGGCAGATATACATACAGCAGCAGAGACGGCAGGCAGGGTGTCGATCGCCGCTGAGGGAAGATAGAGACCAGAGGGAAGTTGGTGAGGAGGGGGGGAGGCAGAGCTGAGAAAAAAGGAGAGAGAGGGAGAAAGAGAGAGGAGGCTGCAGAAGCATACAGATGAGAGTGGGAGTACTTGATAAAGAGAAATCTACAACGCAGCAGCTCTCTCTCTCTTTCTCTCTGCGCGCGCACTCACACACCGGCTCAGGGCGAGCGAGCGCAACAGCTGAAGTGAGAGCGGCGGCGGCTGCACTTCGCACGGCGACAGACTCGGATCTACACTTGGCCTGATCTCTGGCAGGATTTACCTCCGCAGGAACGGATACAACTTTCAGTTCCTCCCTCCGCCTCCCGAACGCCTCTGGCTGGATTCTGAGAACATCTGGACATCGGCACTTTACCTGCCTGGCTTCCCTGCATGCTGACCCCATCATGCCCCTTGCCTAGCCTCTTCCCTCCCCCCCTTTCACCCACTCCCCTCCCTCCATCCCCCTCTGAATCCCCCTCCCCTGTAATCGTCCTCGCCAACAGACTCGTCCGAAAGCATGGCGGGCTCCTTCGACAGCCACTTTGCTCGCCATAACATGATGTGGCAGTGCCAGCTGTCTCAGCCGGACTGCCGCTGCTACCGCGTGGACGGCTACTCCCTACTGAAGCGTTTACCCCTCCACCCCCTCATAGGTCCCCGCTGCCCGCTGCAGTCCGTCGGACAATGGTTGGACTCCATCGGTCTGGTCCAGTATGAGAACCACCTGCTGGCTAACGGATTTGACAACGTCCAGTTCATGGTGAGTGTTTTTATGATTTAAATTTCATTCAGAATATTTTGATGAATGGGGATCATTTTATTTTGATTGCATGTTTTTGCATCATCTGGATGTTTATATTTCCTTCTTTTGTGATTCTTTTCGTCTCTATTTGTCTGTCCTTTCTTGTAATCACTGCTGCCTCTCCCCACTGATGCCATGTGAAGTCCCTCCTACGCACAGAAATCCTTCAACATATCTTCACCAGCAGCTCTAACTGCACACATCACAGAATCAGGACGCATTCATTGTAGTTTTTGCTGAGATTTTGTGGTTCCAACCACCTGTAGCTTGTGGGTATGAGAGTGGACTGATCCTCTCAGTTTGCTCCGGCGATCCCGTGCTGTGTCGTAGGAAAGGATCATGTTTGGCTCACTTTTCATCAGAAAACGATGTGCACCCATAAGGGAGGCTGAACAATGAAGTTGGAAATGAGGAGAAACGGGGAGGGCTGGGGAGATGCGATGAAGTTAAACTGGGAGAAACTGCAGCAAAGGCAGAAAGACACAAAGCGCAGGGATGCTGACTGTATGAGTTTCCCACCGCGCTGGAGCCAACTTTAAAAATTCAACTAGTTTGACTTTTTATTTCCGTTTGACGTAAACTAATTCCCAGTTGCTGTCTCTGTTATGAGAACAAACAAAAGGTATCTGATATTTTTGCATGTGTTCTGGTCCTCCACTCTGAGTGACCTGCATCTGTTACTGTGGCAACCGCATAGAGAAATCCAACTTTGGTTTGGTTAGTGTTCATCTGTTTGTTTTAGCTCCAATCTACAAGAGACTGTTGATTGGATATAATTTTCTTATGTTATATATGCGTTTCAGACCTTTAGCTTCCTCTTCCTCTGAACTTTCAACTCTCCACCTTTGGACTAATTTACAATCATATTTTGTAACTTGTCTTGCAGACTCCTAGCCTTTCTTCTACAGGTGGTCATAAAGTTTTAGAGTCAGGCAGTGAGAGATTAAGCGCTATATAATAACATTTTACTTTTTTCTAAATAAGACAAAGTGATTTTTAAACTCTCTGCAGCATCTATTATTAATATGCATGATTTGCATGGTTAATGCTGTTTACTGTGAACAGAAATCTTTGATTTGAATCCACTTTGGAATAAAAAGTTTTACCTTTAAGTTATAGACAGCAGAGCTACAGCTAACGTTTAACGTAACATCTGCTAATAAAAATTGCATGATCTTTGCTGCTGCTTGAGTAACTTTGCTATTCTACATCTTGATGATTTGTTGTAATAGCAAAATGTTTTTGAACCGTTTGTGCGTTAACATGAAAACGTAATTTTAGGAGACTCTAAACATTTCTTGCATGGATTTTAGTGAAAAGTTTGTCGTCATATACTAATTATTAGTGATTAAATGACTTCTTCTGTTTCAATACATTTATTTTAGATGACCTATATTTTATAAAGAAAAATGTTACATTTGTCTCAAGTTCTTTAAATTATGCCTCTCAATTAGGAAAATGTGTATGAAAAATAGTGCAAATTTAACCATGTTTATAGGAGACCTTTACCAAGAATGTCTCCAAAATTTGATTCAATTGTAATTCAAGAACATGGAGCTAATTTGTTTTTTAACATTTTTTTCTAGTTTATTCAGTTAATTTTCAACTGTTGTTGAATAAGTGTGTATGTTTAAAACCTATGGATATTAACACAATGTCTTCAATATATTTTAGCTGTTTTTTGTGGTGTTACTATAGCTTAATCTGATTCTTTAGAACATGTGTCAAACTCAAGGCCCGGGGGCCAAATGTGGCCCGCCGTAGCTTCTTATGTGGTCCTTTAAACTCCAAATTACACCAAGTCCCTCCAGTTTTTTAACAAATCTGGTAAATTCACACAAAATAAACACATTTCCACCTTTTTTCAAATTTTCAGGCAAATTTTTCTCAAAATTGGCCAAAAACTTTTGGTTTAAGTGACTGCTGCCTCCTTCATGTCAAGTTATAGTCCGTCATCAAAATGGCGATTAATAAAAAGCCATGTTTAACATCATACCTTATCACAAATATAGAAATTCCTTCCAAATATTTCTAAATTAGCGCCACAAAATCTATCATTTTGATTCCAATAAACCCCCACGAAAACAATCACAAAGTCCTGGATGTGAAAAGATGTTCAATATTATTTAATTTTTAAGAAACCTTTACTGAATTCTGAAACAAACCGCTCTATTGATATTTTATCAATAATTTGAATTTATCAGTACAATCTGGCACAACAAGCTCTTTAAGAACATCCAGATTTTTGATATGGACCAAAATGAAGTGAGTTTACATTCCTGCTTTAGAATATGTTGTTAGGAATAATCACTCCAGCTGCTATTAACATCACACTGGAATGTATTTTCATTCAATAAATTTGTATATATGACTGATTCGCTCCTTAATATGCAGCAGGTGACAGACATTATTTGTAGATTAATGGAGATTTGGAGATTTTGTTCACCTGCTGTTGTTGCTTCTGAGGTATAGAAAATGTTCTAAATAGGTTTATTACAGTAGATATAGTGACTTCAAAGATTTCCTCCTGAGTGGCACCGCTTTTGGGATTAAAGACTTTCTTCCTGGAGAGCCTTTTTGTCATTTTCATGACTAAAAATGCCAACAAGCCTATTCTGTTGCTTAAAATCAAAATTACTCCCTCATTTGCACTGCAGTGAGATATCAGTAATTCAGGACATCCTTTATTATTGACTGCATCTCCTTTTAAGTGAGCTTAGGGTCAAATTCATTTTGTCGCAACACAGTGCTGGGTATTTAAGATAAACGCCAAGTTCAAACCCCAAAAGTCAACAGATGTAAAAGTCCAAGCTGCTTGTCCTCTATTTCAGGGACAGTTCAAGTTCATCTGTAGACCTGATTGCTTTTGCAAATGAATTTGACCTCAATTTTCATCTGTTTCTCTGTATGAATAGAAAGCATGTTATGCTGGAGTGCACATGTAAATGAGCACAGCGATCCAATCTACCATTAGGGTCTTCTGCTAAAGGGGGCCGTTAAAGTGGGTGTGTCTGAGCACTTGGACCAGCCAGTGAGGCTGGATTGATGGTCAAATAAAAAAGGAGTGGACAGTATTGACTGCATTTCTTCTGAAGGACACGAGATAATGGCCAATCTGAAATGATGTCACTGTAGAAACGCCTGACATCAAGCAAAAGGATGTTGTGTGTAAAAATCAGATATACTAAAACACTAAAGCTTTTTGTTTGGCTTCACCAATTTAAATGCCCATCTTGTACACAGTCTTTGCTACTTCATTCCTTTATGATTCTATAAATATTTCCTTTAGTGGCTCAATTTGCTCTCAACAGTTTATAGGAAGGCTCATAAAAATGTCCATGTGTGTTGTATGTCTTTCCATCATGCTGCTATCAAATAAATGAAACTAATGCCAGAAAAACCTTTGATTTATTATTTATTTTATTTTCTTAGAGCTGCATATATTATCAACTGATCCTTGCTTGAAATGGGACAAAATGTGCAATTTAAAAAAACTAAAATTGTATCCCTTTGATACATTTTGAGTTTCTAGGAGTGCAGAAAACTTGTAATTTAGTCTCTTCTGGTAATTTGTATATTCCTGTTAGATCATATTTTCTGAATGCACTTAGGTTTTACATTTTTTGAACAATTCATAACTCAATCCTACAGTGTCAAAACCTCTTCAAATTGGAAATGTTCCCCAAAAGAAAGTAACATATTTAGGTAAAAAGAACTGGAACTGGTTGTTTTGTAACATGTAAAAAATGAACCATGAGGATAGATAATCATTTTAGACACTGCAAACATAAATACTGTATTCCTTAACATTTAATGATTAAATGCAATTAAAGACTAAAAGAAAAGTCAACTTTTTTTACATAAATATAATTTACAAGATTAATGTTATGATGCTTGAACCAAACTTAAAACTTTGTGGATTTTAATCTCTTTCAATTCAAAGAAAGAATCAAAGAAAATTGAAACTACATTTAAAAGAAAATTATATAAATGAGGAATAAAATCTTGCTATAAATTTGATATGATAAAAAAGAAAATCTTACTAAATATTTTATTTGCATTATTTTATCACAGTCCCTGATTTATTGTTTTATTGCTTTTATAAATTATTCTTCATTAAAAAATCATGGCTGCTGACTTGAAGTGGGTGAATATTTATGCTGTCACTTCTGTTATGTTATATATTTTTGTTTTACTGTCATTATTTTTGTAGAAATGTGTTTTCATTTTTCATCATAGGGTTTTGTTTGAATTTTTATAAAAGTCAAATTTTGTTGATAATGATTGATCTGAAGATGTTAAAACAACCAAAGAAGTGAATACTTTTTATAGTGCTGTATTTGATTAAAAAAACGTCATTTTGTAAGCAAGGCAGACATTCTTGAAAGCAAACATTGAATAAATAAACTAGAAGAAAAGAGAACCCTGAATTCATGATGATGGAAGTCATAAGTTTCCTGTGGTTTAGCGCTCTGCAAATGTGCCTGATTTTAAATTGCTGTTATCAGAGAATTTGTTGACCTAAAATTAGAAAAATTAGAAAGAAAATCTGATCTAGAAGCATGTTTTCCACTCCTGAGAACTACTCCAGGAATGGACGGAGCTAATGTAAAGACAGAGGAGCAAAGTGGACAAAATAGGTTTGATCAAGAAAGGAAACCCTCAGTATCTTCATCTCTCCGCATCAGGACCCCAGCAGGGAGCAATTAGTCATGCCTTTGAAGATCCACTTTCCACCGCAGCATCCCGATCCCCAACAATTTACTCTGCTCTCGCTCCGAGAGTCATTACTCTGCTGTGAAGTTGTAGCATGGTGACTCCACCTCTATTAATCAGCCTGGGAGCTGATCTGTGAGCTGCTCTCCTCTCAGGAGCCGACGCGCAGGAGCGCAGGAGCGCAGGAGCGCGAAGCCGGCGCAATAAGTTCAGCTGCAAAATGAGCCCAATCAGCTGTTGCTGTTGGTTACTTAGTTTGGTTTCAGACTAGGGGAGCCCTGGAGATCAATTTGGATTCATTTTTTTCCCTGAGAACGTACTTTGGCTTTAAAGGATCATTGATGTGTGCAAATACTTTAAAGTATTTGCACACAAGGAAAGTTTTTGAAATGTTTCCACCTCTTCATCACTCTCTAAAAGATCAAAACAAAAACTTTTCTTTCTACTATTCCAGCAAATGGTTGGTTGAAAAAGTGGCGTCAGGTATTTGGTGTAAAACATGTGGCTTAGTGGTAGAAAACCCGAACACATTACTAATTTTTAAATAGATCATTTGGTTTTATGTTTGCTTCAGAAATCACCGCTTTTAAAAGTTTTTATTGCAGAAACGAGTGGTGCTGTCATCCATCTCTTTATCCAGAATATTATTACTGTTTCTACAGCAAGTAGCATCAGATGACAGTTTCTGGAAGTAACTGTTTAAAAATACCTACAGATTCACATTTAAATACATAAACTCCAAACTTTGCATGTTTTATAATTGTAGAATCTTAAGACAGTTGGAGTGATGTGCTTATATATATATATATTGAACTGTTGAAATGCTAAACCACAATTTTCATGAGAATTTTTTCCTTTTTTTTCAGGTAGAGATATATGTTGTATATTCTGATTGGTTTGATGTTTGTCTGTTTTTTTTTGGTGACGTTTACATCGTCATCATCCTCGTCTAAATGATCATCATTCCACATATTCAGCTTGCATTCTCCTGACGTAACTTCAGAGTTTTGATCTTTTCATTTCAAGACAAAAAGAGTCCAAACTTCTGCTCTCCAATATTTTATTACAATTTTTCTTCCCACATGCCACCACTGACATCCAGATGGTTTCATCTGTTTTCTTGATCATGACAGCTTGTCAAACTATGCAGATCTTGTTAAAGTAAACATGCAGCATTTACAGTTTTGTATGTTTCCATACACTGTGAATGTGAAGTTGCTGAAATTTCACATGCTAAATATCTTAACAAGCATTTTCCAATCAAGTTGTTCATCTTTTATGCAAAGTAGTCCATCGTTTTTTATGTTTGTGTTTTAAACAGTTTAAATGTGCGCTTTGGATCATTGTCCTGTTGGATGACCAAGTTGTGTCTAAGATTTAATAATCATATAAATATAATCATCATTTTGGTCATTTTAATAAACCATCAAAAGTAAAAAAAAAAAATCTGAAAATGCCTGAGATTGAGAGTGATCTTTTTATTTCAAAAGTAAACTTTAAGTGGATTTACTTTAAACGTTTTTTTCATGTTTTCAATGATTTTTGAAGTCAAATCTAATGGTTGCATCCCTGACCAGGGTGCAGACAGTTTAAGAGTTACTGGTGGGCGGATTCCCCTCAGGCTGCTCTCCGTTTCTCCCTGGATCTGTCTTTTAATCATCATCGTCCTTTTTCCTGATGATGTTTCCTTGGCAGATTTGTCTGGTCTGATGCAGTCTGCGCTGACTCCTGTAATTATGAGTGTGAACCCCTCTCTTCCTCTCCGGAGGGGGCGGGACTGATAGCTCTCTCATGGCTTCCTGCTGCAGTAATTAAAGGTGAACGCTGCAGGAGACCCATACAGACTCTGGTGTTAGTTTGATTTAAATATCACATCGTTTAAGTATCGTCATTCGTTGTAATCTGGTTTATTTGGAGCCATACTGTCTTAGAAAAGTGGACTTTATTGTTTTGCCTTTTTAATAGCTGATCTTAATGTTGTTTAATGTACTAAATTTAAAGCTATTCTGCATCAGGGGTGTCCAAAGTCCAACAGGTGGTTGATGCAGATGCATAAAAATATTACCAACAAATTAACATTTTCTGTGATGGCATATATTAAGTATAACATAAAATATTTTGTTTTCTTTTTAATTTTATAAATAGAGCAGCATCTATCAACTGACATCTACTTAAAAACAAACTTTAGAGACCTCAAATCTGCTTTTGTTTAATTTATGACACCAGCAAGGTTTTTAAAGAGCTTATTGCTGAGAATAAATTGAAAGTTTTTCTTTTAATAATGATTCAAACTTCACTTTCCAACAAAAAAAAATATTGATCACCACTGTTCAGCATAATTAAGAATTAAACGTAGCAATAAAAGAAATGTAATTACTTTGTAATATACTGGACCTGTTTCGTGTGAAAAGTGTTACTTTGAGGTAGTTCTTGCAGTGGTTCTGATTAGGTTTTAAGTATTGCTTTATAAATTTATGTTTTCATTTTTGAAAAGTGTTATTAGAAAAACCTAAACGGAGTCACAAGTTGTTGATCTGGTATAGAACTTATAATTAGGATTGATTGATGGATTTGTTGATTAATCTTTAACAGTAACTCATAAGTTTATGCAGCAGAAACGTTTCGTTTTTTCCCGAAATTATTCATGCTCATACAGAGTGGATAGATGTCAATGTTAATTATGCTAATCAGAGTTGGATGTATGTCCATACTTTAACTAGACCATTTTAACCGATTGATAGACTTTTTTATGAACCTTTGATAAAAATCCAGCATGGGTTTTTAGCTACAAGCCAGTGGCTCAGTTTTTACCAGGTGTGCACGTAATGGCTCGTCAACGGATGTTTTTCCCCTACCAGACAGGTGAGGATCTGCCTCACCTGTGTGCTGAGCTTCTTGGTTTTCACGATGCCGTTTGTTCATTTTCCATAACAAACCTCTGAGGCTTTCACAGAACAGCTGGATTTATTCTTTACTCTTCACTGATTCTATCTTCTGAATGCAATTAGTTTCTGAATTCGATTTATCATGACCTCCTGGTGACGGAGCTACACCAGAAATCCATCACTGCCTCCTGACAAGTTCTTCAGCACAACTATGAGATGTTTCTTGTATCGGTTGTAGTAATAAAATACCAGATGTTAACTGAAACATATTCATGTTCTACATCAGTCGGCTTTTAACCGGAACTTGATAATTTAATTAAGTACATTTAAAATATTATTTGAATGTACATTTAGGAAATCGGCTAAAAATACTTTTGCAGAGACAGTTTAACCTGTTACAATTTAAGAAAAATATGGGTTACTTTCTAACCCTGTAATGCCTAAATTAGCCATCTTTAGATGGATTTAATATATCAAATCTGTTTTTGTTGAGGAATTTGTGATTATGCAGGGAAGAAGTTGTCTCTCAAAGCAAATTAAACAGGAACTCTTTCATTTATCTGGCTGCCAGGCAGAAACAGTTGCAGGGTTCTCTAAAGATTCGTCCGGCTCCCTAAAAACCAAAACAACAGCTGGTGTTTGTTTCATTTTGGATATGTTGAGGCATAAATAAAGCTGTTTTGGTTTAATTTTGCCAGATAACTCTGTTATGAGGATCAAATGGTCAGCTGCAGTGACTGTAACTCTTTATTTTAATCTGTTTTTGTTTTACAGGGAAGCAATGTGGTGGAGGACCAAGACCTACTGGAAATAGGGATCCTGAACTCTGCCCACAGACAGCGCCTCCTGCAGGCCATTCGGCTGCTGCCCAGGGTCAGTTCAACTTATACTGAACAGAAAATGTCATAAAGCTTCATGATCCATCCTGAAAGTTAGTTTTTATTTTCAAGTTTGTCTTTGTTCCCATTCATTGGTGACATTCTTTTATCCATTCTTCAACCTGAAACGTTGCATGTATCTCCATGTACTGGAGATACATTTCTTGAACAAATAATGTCCTTAGATTTATCTTTTGCTGTATCAACTACGTACGTAATTTTGTATTAATGTGCGTTAATACAAAAATTCAACAATGTGGATTTTACAGCTTCTTTTTGGCTTTCAGAAACCTTTAGATAAATATTTGAGGTTCTGAAACTGGTTCGCTTTCTTTCACATTTCAACAAACAAAATAAATCAATCAGACTGTTAGGCAATGGTTCTTCTGTTTACTGGACCCACAATCACAGCTTAATGATGAGCTACAACTCAATATCATGTTAGTACCAGATGATAAATATTCCACACATATCTGTAGGCATATAAGAAGTATTTAGTGGTTGGATTTGTGTTTTTGTAGCTAAAATAAATTGCAATTACAAAATGAATTTAGGCAGCAAGATGTTAATGAAGGTAGAACAGAATCACCAGCAGGTGTCAGCCTTTTTATGATTGTTTCAAAAGTTTTATTCGCAATCATGAGCTAAAGAAATCCAACCACTGAGCATGAATCTAAAAAAGACTCAGAAAATGTAGCTTTAGCTAAATAGTCGCTCACTATTCAGACTGACAGAACAGTCAATAACAACCAGCTCTGACAGGCTTGGATTGTCTTTTTAAGCAAAAGCTAATAAAATGAGCCTGGAATGGAATGAAATGTCGTTGCTGAAGGCCAAAAATAACGTTGTTACTGCAATAAATGAACACAGTCACATGCAAAGAAGGAAAAAGGAGTTGAAGGAGTCTGAAGTGAGAGATGAACTTAGATCTCCAGTCAGCATTTTCTCTCCTCTCACTCACTAAACTTTTCCAAACAGCACCGAAGATGAAACCTTTTAACTCGGAGACGTGCAGACGCACACATCCTAAACATAAGGTGGAGGTTGTGGGAAGCGTGTTTGAAGCAAAACAAACTCTGGGGCTGTTTGGGCTGTCAAAATAAAGGTGAATGAATTATTAATTATCCGTTCCACTCCAAGTGTTTCCCTCTGCACGGTAACCCCCTGCTGTTACTGTCACATTCAGACCTGTACCAAAAATGAAGCTTGTTTACTTGGTTTTACTATAAAAATATAGTCGCACTCACAGAGACGTCTTGCGTTTTCCTGGTGGATGTTTGGACGTTTGTAGCACAAAGCAGAAAAGGTTTAATTTTTAAAAAATATTCCGCACAGAATAAATATGTGAACCTTCGGGATTATTATTTTGAACAGCAGAATTTCCTTTTTCATTAAATCTAAGGTCAAATGAACAGAATAACGTGTTTAGTCACAATTCATTATCTTTGCTATATAAGTGGCTTGATGGCAGTTTTATACTGATTTTATTTTTTACTAAAGTGACGGAAGAAACTCTGCAGGCTCCTGTCACAAAGTTTGCAGCACTGAGGGAAAACAAAAGCTCGAAATGTGTTTTCATCAGAATATTTTAAATTGGGCATATTGCCATTTGTATTCAGCTGCTAAATATATACAATGAGGTTGAAATTTACCCATCACCTAAAAATATCCAATAAAATTTTTGACACAGCTGTAGAAAGGTTGTTTTCCTTCCTAAAATGTGATTTGTGTTCAGGTGCGACCGGTGGGCTACGATGGCAACAACCCCACGTCGGTGGCCGAGTGGCTAGAGTCTCTGGAGCTCGGCGACTACACAAAGTCTTTTCTCGTCAACGGCTACACGTCCATGGAGCTGGTCAAAAAGATCTGGGAGATTGAGTTGATCAATGTAAGTGTCACAGCTACCTCAGCAGTGCTGAAAATGTCTCCCACATATTGGGCTTTTATGGAAAAAGGGCATAAGAACAGCAGTTAATCTGCACTGGTCCTGCTGCATCAACAAAAGTCAATCCAAAGCTATAAATAATCCAAAATAAAGCAAAGGCGCTCAGTCTTTCAGTGATATAAAAGCTGCAAACCTCAGCTTTAAGGGAAATGAAGTTTTACAGTTACTATCAGAAGGTCGCATGCACTCAACATGGACCTCAGCCTGTTACATGAACAGGTGGAATGATAATAGTACAATACATAACTGTAATTTAATGGAAAGAAATGGATTTATTATGGATTTCTCTACTTCAGAAATCAAGCTGTGCACAGAGACCTAAATGTAACTTGAGCTCTTACTCACTGACTTATGTTACAAACTTTAACAAACCCTTAGTATCATTACAGTCTGATAGTTTATTGGTCTTCTTATTAGAAATTGTAGTTCTGACTAGTTTTCTGACACAATCCTGGCTTTTCAGCATCGTGGACAAAAGTTTAACAGTTTTGAGGTTGGTGCCTTTAAAAAGGCTTAGTGTCAGTGGAGCAGGAAATAATCTATAGGAACGACCTCAGTGGTCAAAGGGGTCAAAAAGTACCGCTTCGTCATTGTTCCACTCTCCACAGCCACTGGCAAAGAAACAGCCCATAATGCTGCTACTACCATGTCTGGTAGTGGAATCTTAAGCTTCATTATTTTGCTCTTTCTCTCTCCTGATGAGAAAACCCGACTTGCCAATGTGGGCAAGTTGCACATTTCAACTACAATGCTGCAGATGCTTCAGCTTGTCTCATGAAAAATGTGAACTCCTGAATCCTGACATGTAAAATATAAATCCATCAACAATTATTTCTATTTATATTGCTTGAACCAACATTGCAATGTACACTTTTGTGCAAACGCTGATATTCTTTAACATCAGGTGTTTTGTTCACTTCAGATATTTATCAATCTTTTCCGTAGAAGTTTAGATAAAGTCTTTCACTTTGGCAACAGGGTGAATTTGTGTCCTGTAGTTGATAAACTGTCCGTCAGCATCAGTCCCTGTTGGCGTTCGTTAACCTGAGCTGATGTGAAGATTACCTGAACGCCCACTGGGCTTTTCTCATTACTGGGCTGCGTGTGCTGACGATGCAGACAGAGTGTGTTGCTGTTCTGGTTCTGTGGCGTTTTGCTGCTCCATCGTTAACCTCGCTCCTCTTGTGAATGTTAGCGCGACTGCTGATAGCGACGCTTGTTGCCTGAGTTCTGATGATGCAGTCGCCGTTTGTTATTCGCTTTCGACGACGCAAAATCTCTACTGGAGCTGTGATTTACAGCGACTTGATCCCGTCTGACTGACGGGGGCTTTTGATGCCGACTGTTTAACCAAATCATGCTGGATTGCAGGGGGCCGCCTGTTCGGCTGATTTGACTGGGAAAGATGGAAAGCAGAGAGAAGTGGTGTTTTTTCTCCTTCCCAGCAGTGGATAAAGTGATGAGTGATCAGCTGGAGGAGGTAGAGAGGGAGTTATATAAGCATGTGGGATGCAAGATGTTTCATCAAACTGGGGATACCGCCCACTCACTGCACTGCTGCTGCTGTTTCTGCTCCTCTGAATGTGACATAGGAAATGTGTTAATACATCCTCATGTTTATGTGATAACAATCTCCTTCCTTAAACATGAAATCAGCTCCACATTGGACACGCATGAGCTGTAAATTCTGTATGCACTGTTTTATATAAATGTTTTATAACAGGATTGCATCCGTTCTGGTTGGTGTTCTGCAGCTAGGGGGCGCACAAGTACGCAGCATGGAGTAAAGAAAAGTCTGAATCTGCAGTTTTGAAATCGATTTTAAGCCTAAATGTTTTCACAGTAAAGAGAAAGTTTTGTGTTGTAGGATTTATTGAAATCAGCTCATTTAAACTAACTTCTTTGTCATCACCTTCCCATAATGATAGCCGAAGTCTTTTGTTTTTGTTTTTGTTTTTTTGGGGGGCCAAAATTGATTTTTACATTACCTTTAGGGGGAAAAAAGTAGGATATTATTTTCAGACGGTGACAATATTCGGTGTTTCATCATCATATCTTAGAATAATATGGTTTTGGTTGGAGTTTCAGACGTTTTTAGCCCATTATGGACAAATGGATGGATGAATGAATGGATGGACAGATAAGGAGAAACGCCTCTTTTAAGCCAAAATTATTAGAAATTAGAGGGAGTAAATAAATGTATTGTCATTTATTTACTCCCTCTAATTTCTTTTTTTGCTATTTCCAAGACCCCAAAACCTTGAAAATACCAAAATCAAATTCTGGACTTTTGCAGAGGAACCCTGTAGATGGTTTTACTTTGTGTGTAAAGGTCTGTGGGATTAATTTGAGAAATGTTCTTGATTAAAAAGATGCATTTAGTTTTCTAGAATGTGTAATAAACAGATGGTACTAATTTAAAGTGCCCCTTTTGTATTTTGCATTGTTTCTTGACTTAACTTATAAAGATCAAGACAAATTTGGCTGATTTTAATAACATGTCCTCTGATCTCTCCCATTTTAGAAAAAAAAGCATCTTGTTTTATTTCCCAGAAAACAGAATTAGTCTGATAATCTTAAAAGAAATGTTGAGTTTCAAAAATAAGAGAAGAATCCAGAATTAAACATGTTGACAGTTCGATGGTAGGACATTGTAAACAGGAAAATTTCCATCAGAAAGAGACTCTTTCCTCCAGCTTTGTTTGCAGCCCACTCTTTAATCTATCCTCGTCTAAGTGGACTCATCACTGCATTAAAAATAGTCTGTCTCCAAGCTACCACACAGTTCAGCACTGAGAAGATAAAGCTTCTAGTTCTTAATGCAACTTAAGGAATTCTTAATTTATCAAAAGTTTGTTGCAGAATTTTAAGCTAAATGTTTCAAAAAAATCTAAAAATGCACACCCATATGTACTGCATATTTAGTTTTTTAGGAGGACAGAGTGGCCTGTTCTTGCTGGTTTTCAGTGAGTGAATATGAAAGCACAATGTAACTGGAGGAGTCTCTGGGGTCGCAGGGAGGTGGCGGCTCTACCTGAAAGAGATGCTGCAGAGAGATGTTGGCAGGACGCAAGATGAGATAAAAAACTAATTTGAGAAATTGTTTGCCAGAACAGACAGAAAAAAGAGAATAAATCCTAAAAAAAAGTGAATTTATCTCCTGGTTTTATGTAATTGCCAAGGGCAACAGATGATGCTGCCTGCGCAGAGACAAGAGAGGACGCGGTTGATGGAGCCAGAGCACAGCTCAGTGTTCACATACGTGCAGCCCTGCAGTTTGGGGGATTAGGTTTAAAATGCTGCCTGATCCCACACACACTCAGACAACACAGTGCAGAGGGAGACGGTGCACACACACCTCTCACCTTTCAGATTATCAATCATCTCCAGGCTGACCTCACAGCCGAAGCTGCCAGAAGGATTACTGTTGGAATATTAATGCCTCCACTGATTGTTGACATTTATTTAAAAAAAACTTTAATTGTTTTCACAAAACTCAAAAGTATTTGTCACATTTATAATGGGGAAGAAAAAAAATCTTTTAACTATGCATTTATTACTGCATACAGAACAAATACAAATATTTATTTAAGTCAGTAAATAACCCGGCTCTAATTAAGACATTAGCTATACCCCCTCGTCATCAATGCTAAACAATTTAAAATAACTTTATTTTGAAAAGGCAGCCCTTTGTTGCTTACTTCCCAGTTGCTTATTTCCAGGATGTACAGACAAACCCAGCTTGAGATCACTCTTAAGCCCTCAGGCAACGTTTTGACCTTAAATATGACATGTATGCATTTAAATTCAATTGAAAAATTAATCATACAGATACAGAGGTTGTTTTTTTTTCTTTTGCAGGACTAGTTAAGCAAATTTGAATCTGAATACTTAAAGTAAATTAACACTAGTTTGTATTTCAGCTCAATAATGTTGTATAAATATGTCAAAGTGAGAAAAGTTTAAGATTTTTTAAACTTTTTATTCTCTTTTTGTTTTCTTATTGTAATTTTGGGATGTGTTGTATTCACTACATAAATATGGGAGGACTTTCCTCTAAATGCATGCAGACATAATACTTCATTTAACTGTGGGCAAGCAGAGTGAGCCCAGGGATGCTGCTGTTCAGTGGAGCTATTTTAGGAGCAGATCTGCCTTTGTGTCTTGTTTCAGAATTGGGGCATGCAAACGCAGGTTTGCTCACATTTAGCACCAAAAAATACGTAAATTTGGCATTAGAGCACAAGAAAAATGTGTCTGCAAAGAGATACCCGAAAGCACTCTTTTACAGGGTCAAATAATATAATTAAAAGCTATTAATGTAATATTAATTTACATATTAGGTTAGAAATTATCTGTTAGTTTGTAGTGCTCAACATAGTTGTCTAAACTATTGTTTTCTCTGCTATTTATATATCAAATATAATTTAATAGCAAAAGACAAGAACATAACTATCTGAACATTTAAGTCCAGTCATTTTTTTTCACAACTTGAAAGAGTCGCCAAGTAATAAGACGACAGCAGCAATATGTCGAGTTTGATTCTTGTCCGAAAATACTTTAAAAAAAAAAAACCCATCCCTTACATTTATAGGTGAATTTATTAAAAAAAGAAGAAATTGAATGAATAACTTGGAATCTCTAATAAAAACTCACTGAAAATGACATTTATTATTAAGTTTTTATTAATAATACATAAAGAATTCAAACTGAATTGGTTGCTTAGATTTGGATTTTGTGCCCTTTGTTTAAATTTAGTGAATTAAACCCGACTGGCTCAGAAAATGGCATTTCAGATATGAACCAAAATGATTCATGAGCTGCGCAGCTTGAAAGCACAGTGGATTCATTAAACTGAAAAATGTTACATATTTGGTAATTAGAACAAAATGAAAACTTTTCCTTTTCTTGCTTGGATATTAAAAACAGGTTTTTATTTCTGT